GATACAATTGAATCATTGAACCATTGTACAGGGACGCTGGACCCGATTTCCAGCAGGTGCAGCTCCCCACCAATAGATGGAGCCTTCGACGTGGGGACCTACTTACTGCTCTTATCACCTCGGTAAGTAGGTTCTTCGCATATGAAGATTTCTTCAAAAAAGAAAAAAAAAGAAAAGAAAAAAGAAAAAAAACAAAGACAAACTGGGCACACGAATTATGACGTCCGCTCCTGGCACACGAATCCACTCAAAATTTGTATTGCCAACCCCCTTGCATCATCGTTGCCAAGGGTTCGACGGAGGAGCCCGGTGAACACGGCTCATGCATTAGGAGACTGTCCCTCAATCCGTTCCCCGACTCAATAGCACATGCTGCGTCTTCCTCCAGAGGGGGCGGACAAGGTGAGTGCTACGCGCCTTCGCCGAGGTTGACTTTGCACATCACAACCATCACTATCACTGTCCTCGGACACAATCTCAGCGATCTTGGCCCAGGTGGGACCAGGTGGACTCGAATGCGTGGTGGAATACGAACGACCATTTCGTCAAAATGCACATTTTTTATTTTTTGAACGAAATTGAAACTGAGTTTTTTTGCCGAAAACTCGTCAGAATTTGTTGTTCTTGAGGGTCTAGCGTTTTACAAACGCTGGACCCCCTGGCTGTACATGGACCAAGCTTGAGACTAGGCACCTCCAGGCAGGACTGTCTGGAGGTACCTGGTCTCAAGCTAGGTCCATGTACAACCAGGGGGTCCAGCGTTTGTAAAACGCTGAACCCTCAGGAACAACAAATTTTGACGAGTTTTCGGCCAAAAAACTCGGTTTCAATTTCGTTCAAAAAATAAAAGATGTCCATTTTGACGAAATGGCAGTTTACGCGTCTAAGTCGGTGCCTGCCTGCAAGCGCAATTACGCCGCCCCGACAGGAGAATGCTATGCGGCTCTGTGGGGGATCAGTCACTTTCGAGCCTATTTGTATGGGCGGAAGTTCACGCTGGCCACCGATCATGAGCCATTATTAGCCCTGAAGAAATCTGAGGATTATTCGGGCATGATCGGGAGATGGGCAACGGTGCTACAGAGCATGGACTTTGACATTCGTCATCGGAAGCACGAGAGGCACGGGAATGCTGACGGGTTGACACGACTGCACCAACCCTAGAAGGTCCTCAAGAGCGAGGAGGTAATTCCGTGGAACGAGCCGAAGGAAGAGAACGGACCGCGGTACGAGGAAATGGAAATATTGTCGAACGAGTGAGTGACACGGGGCTTTTTGCTCTACCCTCTCTGCAGCCCTTCTCTCTCTCTCTCTCTCTCTCTCTCTCTCTCTCTCTCTCTCTCTCTCTCTCTCTCTCTCTCCCTCCTCCCCTCTCATCATGGCTACCCCACCTGTCTCTGCAAACCCCTTCTTCCCCTGCTGATTCCGCCCCTCTCGCCTCCTCGGCCTTCTTCGCCACCCTTCCCGACAAATTCTGCTATTTTTGCATGTGTAATACACATGTATATGGGGTGGATTGTCGCCCTTTTGAGACCGGATTCGTTGAGTGGTGAACTATGCCACATGTGTCAATCGTGCACACGGTGCATGCATTCGATACCGAACGAATAGTAAGGAATGGAAGTGCCCTCTGTGTAGGACGGACAAACTCCCTACTGAGGTTCAATCCGAGGCTGCCCGAACGGACGACCCTGAATATGACGAGAAATACCGACAAGCGGTGAGTGGAGGTCTGGTCGGATAAAATCCTATTAGCTAAATTGGCTGGTTTACCATTGGATCATCTCACTAAGCACGACAGACGTCGGGCTACCGAGAGATCCCGGGATTACCGATGGATCAACGGTCACCTAGAAAAGCGTAAAACTAACGGATCGGGTTTGTGATTGACGGTTCCCCATCCATTCCAGAGATATGATTGGACCCGATCTGCTCACGAAGAACCGGCCGCTCACTTCGCGATACGTGTCACGGAGGCAACTATAGATCAGAATCGATGGTTGTGGTCTAATATACGGGACGATGTCAGATACGTAGTCACCAACTGTCTGGTCTGTGCCGCCGACCGTGCCCCAATACGGGGACCAAACACGATAGTGCCGACGGAAGTAGAACGCCCTTTCCAGCGAGTCAGTATGGACACGACAGATATCGACGTGCCACCTGGCCCGAACCGTTGCGAATATTCCATTCTTTTAGTTTTAATAGACAATTTTTCCAAATACATCGAGGTCTACCCCTGCAAGACCCGAAAGRCTGCAGAGATAGCCACGTACATTSATCGGTTCCTCTATACCCATCTAGATACGGAAGAGATTCTAACCGACAACGGGTCCGAATTCAAAGAAGAGGTAGAGGAGTTGYTCGCACGCYGAGGCATTACGCTCCGACACACGGCACCCCATGTTTCCCAGTCGAATGGGTTGGCCGAAAATGCCAATCGCATGATTAAGACTGCCCTTCATAGAAATCTAGCGGCGCGTGACAMGCGTCCTTGGCCCGAAATCGTATACCAAATCGTYGGAATTCACTKGGCCACCCCTCACGAATCTACGGGGTTCACCCCCTTTCAGCTCCGCACCAATAGCCTCCTATGCGTCGATTACCGGGGCTACTCAGAAATTGCCGAAGCAGGGGGTAGAGACACGGGTGCCACCCTTAAGGCCAAGGCCAAAAGGTACGCCGATTTAATGGAAAGGGCAGTCCCGAAGCTAGCCCGAGAGAGACAGAAAATGACTGATCTAGCCCACGGAAGGCGAGTCCGTAGCTACGAGGCCCGGAATGGAAACRCCGGTCCCCAACATCAATATAAATTAGGGGACCTGGTGCAGGTATGTAAATRTGCACGCGACCGGAAACTCGCTCCCAAGTTCTCTGGCTGTTTCCGCGTTATCGAGMTCGGACCCAGCGGTGCCAATACGGTGCGCATTGCGCCCGAAGCTAGCGCCAGCCATAGCTCTGTCCCTATCGTCCGCCATATCTCTTACATCCGTCTCCTCCCTCCTTCTGATCTTCCTCCGTC